AATTCATTTTTAATGATTCAACATGATCCGACGATGTTACCACTTGTTAAAACTAAATCATACTAAATATGAAAACAACCAGATCTAATCATGTTAAACCATCAAGAATAAAATAAATAGATTTGCGGAAGCGTCCCTAAATTAATTGATAGATTGAAATCTTTGAATGTATCTTTGGTTGTAATCTTCTAAGAAGATAGGTTTGCTCTTTTAGTAAAAACTCTATGACGAGATAAGAGTAATACAAGTTAACCTATTTCTGGGGGACTACTACCTCTTTATATAGATTGAATATTAGGTCAATCTTTTAAATATTTTAATACATATAACACATATGACATAATTGATCACTTAATTTATTTCATATTTTATGATAACATTGTACCTTATATATATGTGGCAACAAATATATATTTTACTCAAAAAGGGTTGCCAATTAGTTCTCCAGCGAACTTTAGATAAAAAGAATCCAGCAAATATTAAATTAATATTATATCACCTCTCTCTATTTCTCTCCTAAATGCATATTTAAATCCTCACCTCGAGGCTCAAGCTTCTCGTGGAAAGCCACAAAGAACAAGAATTCTTTCACAGATATGGCAACCATTCAATCCCAAAACAAAACTTTCTTCTTCTCAACTATCTTAAGTCTCTTTCCCAAACCCCTCATAGGCCCAGAAAGAGAATGCTAGCAACATGGACCCCAAACCAAGAGCTTAATCGAATAAGGCTACGGTCTAGTGCTAATATGTAGAGGAAACTTAGATGGTATGACTTGGTAGCTCTTGGAGTAGGTGGAATGCTTGGTGTTGGTGTTTTCGTCACCACTGGCCCCGTAGCCCGCCATAACTCCGGTCCATCAGTCTTCATATCATATGTCATTGCTGGGATATCAGCACTTCTCTCTTCTTTGTGTTACACTGAGTTTTCAGTCCAGATTCTTGTTGCTGGTGGTGCCTTTAGTTACCTGAGAGTGACTTTTGGTATATTACCATTACATTACATTACATTATCTGTAACCTTCCTTTTCTCCATTTCTTGATTGACATGATTATAACATAGCAGTATACATATCACCGATTACCTTTCATAGGAGAACTTGTGGGCTATTTCGCTAGAGCCAACATACTAATGGAGTATGTATTGTCGAACGCCGCCGTTGCGAGAAGTTTTACAGAGTATTTATGCTCAGCCTTTGGAATAAGTGATCCCAATTCCTGGAGAGTGGAAGTTCATGGATTGCTAGAAGGCTATAACAAGTTGGATTTCTCAGCTGTTGCTCTTGTTCTTATTCTCACTCTCTGCCTATGCCATAGGATTTGTTTCTCACTCCTTTTCTGTTGTGTAGTTCAAAATTCATTGTGAATGTTGATTTGGTACTACTATTTATCTGTGTATTAGTTTTTTAATGGATGTTTCCTTCATTTGATTTACAGTACGAAGGAAAGCTCAATCTTGAACCATGTTATGACAATCTTTCATGTTTTTTTCTTCGGGTTCATCATAATCATGAGTTTTTGCAATGGAAGTGCAGATAACTTGGTGAAGCCAAGAGGGCTAACTCCTAATGGTATTAGAGATGTTCTTGATGGAGCAGCTATAGTGTACTTCATCGGTTCGGTACTTATCGTCTCAGGACTTTACTGCCTCATGGCCTTGGCTTTGTGTATGATGGTTCCTTACAATCAGGTCAGTCCACATGTACAACAACTTGATCTTGAAATATAGATGTCAAGTTCTTTTCTTAAACGCACCAGAATCCCTTTGACCCTAATTTTCTTTGCTTTGTTTTTTATTAAAAAAAAGTTTATTTTCTTAGAGTAACAAACTTGCTATATTGCATTGTTTTGTTTTGTTTTCACATGACGGCATAGATAGCTGAAAAGGCATCATATTCAATGGCGTTCCAAAGTATTGGTTGGAAGTGTGTGGGAAATGTTGTAGGGGCAGGAGCAAGCTTGGGGATGGTGGCTTCTCTTTTGGTCGCCATGTTAGGCCAAACCAAGTACTTGTGCGTTATTGGAAGGGCCAGGCTAGTCCCATCCTGGTTATCTAAGGTGCATCCTTTAACTTGCACCCCATTGAATGCCACCCTCTTTTTAGGTATGTAAAGCGCCATTTTATTCAACCTAAAAGATTATACAATTGGTAATAATTTTGGTTATAACCAATAATGCTACATTGGGGCAGGTTTTACTTGTCTATTGTTAAGCGTATAAACGTACTAAATTTTTTACTCTTTTACCCATAATTATTGCTATATTTAGGTTCGGTCTAATTGCATTATTAGTTATTCATGCATGATTTCATAGTTTCCTTCACAGTTAAGTTTGATATTGCATTTTGATTGATTTTTGTGGAAAATATAATGTTGGTGTGTGTTAATTTGTGCAGATTAGGAATTTCCCTAGCAAGCAGAAAATTCCGTAGCATTCGAAGATAATCATTGTACAATGGGATAAATCCTAAAAGTTGAGATATTCACTCAGAAATTAAGAAGGGAAAGAAATCTTATTTGCAAAGGATTTGAAGATAAAGATAAAAGAGATTTAATTCCTCTTTTATTAAAAGAGATTATTTTCTCCTTTATTAGAAGAGATTTATTAGCTCGTCCAATTAAAACCCTCCTTCAACAAGAATCAAAGAAACCTAATCATCTCCTATAAAAGAAGACCAAGACACAACAAAAGAGGGGGAAATGCACAAGACAGAGAAAGAAACTAGCGCATATCATCTTCTTCTTTTATTCTTTATTTTTCTTTTCATGTTGTTGGGAAATCTTTATCTTGTAATCTTTTCGTGCCCATCCATGAACTAATTTTAATTAGCTTGAGTTATTTGGTTTTTTGTGGTTGTGAAAACTCTTGGATTTGTTTGAGTTCATAATTGCGGTTTGAATTAAAAATTTGTTTATTCTTGGTTCTTTATTTGATTTCGAGTGAATTGGGAGAGGATATCGAGAATTATCCATTTATCTAATATCGAGATAGTTTGATTCAAGAAACAAATGAGCATGATCTTCATTTCAATGAACATTTGTGAAGGTTAATCCATCTTAGGGATAGGATTCAGATTTCAAAGCCTAAAAAGAGCGCAAGATCAGTTGTTGTTCACCCATGGTTAACGTAGGGATGTATCACCAAGGCACGCACAATTAACCAATCCTTCAGGTTAGGGATAACAAGAAGGCATTAAAGAACGCTCTGCCGAGCTTTGAAGGAGGAAACTCAGTTGCTACGACAATTGAATCATTTTTCAGTTGTCAAGGCAATCAAGTTACCTCGGCAATCAATTACCCAAACTATCCAAACAATTGTCACACCGCACTTCCCGATAACTCGGCCTGCTCTCTCACTTTATATCACTATATTTTTATTTACTTGCTCATTTATTTTATTTGTTTATTCACACTCCTACTATTACCAATTTATTTCTTTTTACAGTGCAAGAAGTTAACATACAGAGTTACATCAATCCCTGTAGAGATGATATCTTTTCTATACTATAACTTGCGACGTGTACACTTGCACCATTTGTGAAGTACTTAAATTACGCAACATCTACTCTAAATAGTTACATGATTGATAACAATTTTAGTTATAAAAGAGAATGTTTTACGGTAACTTTTTAAGTTGTAACCGGAATAGTTAAGTAATGTATATGATTTGTTATATATAACGTAAAGTTTTTTGTTTCAACCTAAAATATTATTCAATTTACATTAAAAGTTACACTCTTAATTTTTTTTTTCAATTACAATCGATTTCTTTCTTTTAGTCTTCTATTAATTGAACTTTATTTTAAACTCACCCAGTTGTTAGGTTTATTTCTTAATTGAACTTTATTTTAGTCTTATATTAATTGAACTTTATTTCTTAATTGGAAAGTGCTTGCCAGTTGCTAGGTTTATGCCATATTTATAGCTAATTTTCTACTTCATATTCAACAATCCCCTCCTTGTTTCCCACTTCCCATTGACCCTTACTTTGGTTTTCGCTTTCTTTTTTCCTTTGGGTTGGTGTGGAATTTGATGAGAGGGTTATTCACCACAAACTCTTGATTACTTTGATGTCACTTTCAATCACGATAAAGATACAATGGCAGACAGCATAACAAAATAATGTTCTTCAGAGAAATTCTTTTTGTACATCAAATGGCAATATACCATTGTGATTGTATGAAATAATAAAGAGAATTTGATGTATGTACATGATATAGGGATCTGCACAACATCAATAGCACTCTTCACTAACTTTGACATCGTGATTGAAATAATCTCCATCGGCACATTGTTGGTGTTCTACCTGGTTGCCAATGCTCTTATCTACAGAAAAAATGTGACCATAGGCAAAAGTTCACCTTCCCTCGTACTCTCCTTTCTCTTCCTCATTACATCATGCGCAATAGGCTTTCGATATCATGGAAACTTGAGCAGCAATGGTGGGGTTTGCCTCTTTTTGGTGGGATCACGGGCACCTTTATCACCTTCTTCCAGTACACGATGCCTTGCCAAGGGCAGCCAAGTGAGTGGTCAGTGCCTTTCATGCCTTGGCCAGCTGCCATGTCCATTTTCCTTAATGTCTTCCTTGTGACCACGTTAAAGATGCTCTCATTCCAAAGGTTTGCTATATGGGCATGTTTGATAACTCTGTTCTATGTATTATATGGAGTTCACTCAACGTTTGAAGCAGAAGAAATAGACATGGAAGTGGCTGTTAATGAAGTGCAAAAGCCATCTATCCAACAAACTAAGCTAGAGGTTTAACAATTTTAACTCGATTGAAATTAGAAAAAACAAGATTTTCTCTCATTTCCTTAATTGACAATTCCATGAAACTCTTTTATGCTAGTGTAAATGTAACTATGCAAGTAATGAGAGGCAATCAATCTAAGTTCCTCATAATTTTGAATTAGAAAAACGAGACTCCATCTAAGTTCCATTGTTTCGAAGAACATTTGGCAAGCTTAAAAGATAATGTAAATGAAAGTATGCTAGTAAACTAAATTATCTCAACACTAGATGACAAAATCTTCCTTTTTTTCTTAATGAAAGCATCTTCTTGCCATCCTTCAACCACATTTCCATTCGTATTAGGGAACATGGAGGATGGTTTCTTTACCATTTTCTTCTTTTCCGACAATAATGCATCCATGATCTTTTGTTGCGACTCAACTATCATCTCGTTGTGCTTCATCTCCATCTCCATTCTCATCTTCTCAATCTCCTTTACCATCTCCATCTTCATCTTCTCCATCCTCACAGACCCTTCAGCCAAGGAGAGGAAACCATATCCTCAAGTGCATCCACACCAGGATTTCAAATCACGGTCCGAAAACGTGATTTCGTCCGCGAAATAGCGGTTTCGCTGCCATCCAAGTTACCCACTACACCAGCAATAGCGCCCGCGACGGCCACAATCACGGTAATCCCGAAATGTAAAGCCGGAATGACCGAAAACGCGACCGCGATTTGAAACCATGATCCACACCCCTCTTGACTCCAGCATCATTGTTCTTCCTACCAAGCCCTTGCCTTGAAGCAACTCCATTTAAACCCCCAAAGTCACACTAGTTCAAAGTTCCAATCAACTCTACCACATTTTTTTCAATGAAAAACTTGAGGCATTGAATCTTTTGCTCGAAATTTGAGTCACTATCACGATTAGAATTTAGATTTGGGCAAACATAATTCTTTGGTTTGAATCCCACGTTCAAACAACTCCTATCACCTAAGGTCTTAAGAGGAAACTCTTTAATACTATCGACATCCTGAGCAAAACTATGATCAAAATCAACCATAGAACCATAACTATTGCCAATTCTACCCTTGCTCTTAAAAATTTTAATTCCTTTAGCCACAAAATTCCCATTTTCATGCCATTTTAGCCCATAACCACTTCCCAATCTGTCATCAAAATTAAAACTTGAACCATACCCACCACTAAATTCATGATGAACACCGGGATTAGACCCAGAATTCCCATCAATATTTTCATGCTTCTTCGATTTCAAGAAAAACCCACAAAATACAATGACTTTATCATCTTGATCATCAGACCCAGCAACCGACGTTGATGCAAAATTCATGGAATCAAGCAGAGGATACAAGTCTCAAGAAGAAGAAAACTTGCCCGAATTTTTGAGGCTCCACTGCTTCACGGCACGGTAACGCTTCCTCAGCTTCTAGATCTTATGCCAGCACTGAACAGACGATTTCAGTCCCAGGATCGGAAGCCGAGGATACAATGTCCGACACAACATCCCAATCCAACGCTTTCAGGCTCCCACGTCGAAGAGCTAATCATTTGTCCTTGTAAGCCTCGATCAACACTAGGGTTTCTGTTTTAGTCCAGCAGGGAGGAGGGACCCGCCGTGTGGCGGCGGAGGAGGAGAAGTAGTAGTGGACATAATGATGGAGAAGAAGGTGGTCGGTGTGGGTAAGGAAAAAAGAAAGGAGCATTTGTTGTTGTTGAATGGCTTAAAAAAGAAGAGGGAGGGTAACATGAAAGCGATTAAAGAGGGAGAAAAGAGGTCGGTAGGTTGCCTGATGCCTGAGGGGGTGGCTAATGGCTATCGTGCGGTGGGAGTGGTGAGAGTGTCACGCGACAGCGAAACGCGTAAAGGGCTTTATTTTGGGGTTAAGTAGAAGTGTGGGAATGCTAGAGTCCGGCACTAAACATGCAAACCAACGATGAACCAACATCCTCTTTCGGCATCTCTCTGACAAAGAGGCTGCTCATGGTGGTGCGCGGAGCTGATATGAAAACGAGTGCTTGTTTTGGATGTAAAAGATGGTAATCTTTTTGGGCTTTTAGCGCCGAATGTGTACTAAAAATGAATTCTAATCTCATCTTTTAGGACCCATGAAGTTATTGCAATAAAAATTGGTTACAAAATCAGGCTTTTAACCTCTGTTTTGAAAATCGGATCGGATCGGTCGGTTTAATCGGGAATCGTTATTTAGTCCGATTTAATTTAAACCGGTTGAATCGTTATTAGTGAATCGACCAAAACCGCTAAACCGTTCGAACCGGACCGGCTGAAAATCGGGAAAAACCGAAAAAAAACGAGAAAAACCGGGATTTTTGTTTTTTTTAAAAAAAAATTAAACCAAAAAACGTCGTTTGTTAAACGAGCCAAGTCGAACTCGAGTATTGCTGAGCTCGACTCGAACTTAAAAACTTTAAAAGTAAGCTCAACTCAACTCAAACTCACAAGCTAAAAATTATCAAGTTCAATTCAAACTCGAAATATAATATTGAAACTTGAACTCAAAAAGGATTGAACTAAAAAAAAAAATTAGAAGCTCGATTGAAGCCTAAAATTCGAGCTTGATTGAAGTGAAAGAATAGTTCACTCAATGCTCACCAAAAGGCTCCATGATTTTGAATGCCAAATTACCTCTATTATTTATAGAAGTTAGTTGTGATGCGCTTCTATGTTTCTTAGCAATGTGAGATTGTTTTGTTCTCATATTTTTACTCTTTAGACTTTTGCGATGCTCTTCTATGTTTCTTAGCCATGTGGGATTGTTTTTAAAAAAAAATTAAACCAAACAATATCATTTTGTTATGCTTTTTTTAAGCCCAAATTTATTTTTTAATTATAGTTATATAATTATATTTATTATTTAATATGTTTTACCTTAAATATTATGTTATAGTTAATTTGAATCATTTTGTTTCACTGGATTTTATAGTTTTTAACTTATATATGTTATGACTTGCTTTGAATATGACTTGTGATATAAAAAATTATTTTTTATTAAATATTTTTGGTATTTTTATTTAATTTTTTAAATAATTATGACGTCGTCCGGTTCTTCCGACCGATTCAACCGGTTAAACCAATAAACCGATATCATGACTGGTTCATTAACCGGTCCGGTTCTGAAAACCATAACATCACCGAATCGATACAAATTGCATGATCAGGAGCAAAAACCTAAATACTTTTAAGATGGGGGGTTTGAAACCGAAGTGAATCGAACACGCAACCTTCTACCATTGCGCCACGGATCCTTTGTTGTTGATTCCTCTTTATAGTGTTTTGTAAAACTTTATCGTCACCAATTAATGTGGAAGAGTGGATCGTCAGGATTTCACTCCAGTTAAATTATTATACCGTTTTTTAATAAGCGCTTTATTTAGTCATTTAATTCTTAATATCAATTATTTTTTTCAATTTCATATTTTTAATTTTTTTTTAAAAAACCTAGTATTTTAATAAAAATATTAATTTGTAATAATTTTAACGAAGTAATTCTTGTATGTAGATACTCTTGTTACATGATACTACTATAAAACAAAGACACTAATCCTGATAAGTATAAATAAATTAATTTGTAGTATAGATGATGTTCTTCAATATTAATTTAATATTTCTAAATTTGTACACTCAATTGTTTTAAAGTGTACTTTGCAAAAAAACTCATTTATATTTATCAAAAAAGAAAACAGTAGATATGGCCAATAAAACACGCAACATGAACTCAAAAAACCATATATATACACTTTTTTTCTTATTATATATATATATATATATATACACTTGTTTTTTTCTTATTAAGCAACAGTTATTACAAAGTAGTATACGTTTTAAATACAATCAATCATTTGACAACAAACGTTCAATCACTATATTACAATTGTTGGTACTCGAACTGTAATCTCTATAATAACAATTATTTCTTTAACCACTAATATAAGATTTATTCTTTACCCTATCCACTAATATTGGATATGAATGGTGAGTATATTTTTCTAATCAATTTGAATGAGCAGTATATCTACATATGACGCAAACTCCATGCCGTTAACAGGATCCTGTGACCTGTAAGTCATCCGAGAAAATAGAGCGGCCTCAACAAGTCCTGGATCCACCGGGGCTACAACCATCTGGATTTAAACAACAAAGGCAGTGGATCAAGTTTTGTCTTCCAAAGACATGGTGAAATTTGGGAACACAACGACCACCGATGTCCCACAGTTGAGCATTGTCTCCACCATCCCCAAACAAGCATGTTGGAGATCCTAGTGGCTACTTGTGATGGAAAGCTAATGCCAAATGAATGTCTCCTATATGAACATGAGCATAGCCTTGTGGTGACGACGGATTAAGGATGGTATCGGATGTTGGTAAAACAATATGACTTGGATAGATTCTTTGGGTTTAATGGGAGGATCGAGGAATTTTAAGGAACCTGAAGGAAGTGTAAGGTTAAAGTTACATCCTTGCAAAGATTAATGTCGGAAAGTTTGTCCTGGATTTTCTGATTTTCTTGAATGCGACTAAAATTGTACTGGTATACCATCCTTCATGTATGTATGTAAGCATGGAAAAAAAATCCACCCAAAATTCATTCAAGTAGCAATAAGTTGTTCAAGCAAGTAGCTTATCCGGTGATGAACACGGGTTGGAACTTGAAGATTGGTTCATCACTCCGATCATGCGTGCGTAAGAAAAAGCAGGAATACAATAATTTGATGCAAAGTTAACAAGATAACGTCAAATGAAGCAAATAGTTGAAACTGAAATAAAATTGCAACACTTGGATATGAAAATGATAATTGAACACATAGTAGATGGTCAAAAAGAGATCCCATAAGTCTTTTAGCTAAAACATGAAAAACATCATCCTATCAAAGTAGAATAGGTCGGTTCAGCTCTCAGTTTGCTCCCTCAGCCTCCTAATAGTACTCCTCACAGTCACCGCACTGGCAGTGCTGTTCAATTAACAAATGCAGCTCTGGTAAGTTACTCAGACATCATAAGAAACGAAAATGAAATGTGAAAGGATTACAACAGGGATCCTTACTTCATGGTATAAGCACCGCCTGCTTTGACTTTCCCACAATCCTTGCAGCCCCATATTCCTACAGCTTTTCTCTTCACGGCATACTGTGATAGAAGTGTTTTATTAGAACTACATGCAAGTCATATAAGAAAGGGAAAAAGATAACAATTTTCTAAAAGATAAACAGAGGAATGCACCAAGAGACGGGAAAGGCCATAGAAATAAGGGATCAAATGATATTCAGAAGCATCTAACCTTTCCACAGAACTCACAGAAGTACTTGCTGTGTTGACTAACCTCCATCTTCTTAATTTGCTTTCTCAAACTAGCACCATAGCGAGTACCTTAATTATACATGACAAGAAATAAGAAACTAAAAGAATTTTTGAAGAGAGAGAATCACATTAAAATTTCAATTTACTCGAGAACCTATAAGTGAATAAAAACAATAAAGTATTTTTGAAGAAAATTCAAATTGCAACAATTTCAAGCAAAATCAAATCAGAGGGATACGTGATAGTATTAATCATTCCTACACCGTGTGAATACTATCTACCTAGAAGCCATCTTTAAGAAAAAACAAAGATGTCATAAAATATCCCTACCATATTTTCCAACAATTCCAGCCTTCTTGGTTCTCTTTGTCTGCATCATAAGGGAAAGGAGTTAACTACTAATTGCAACAAGAAACAACATGAGACGATTAACACAAATCAATCCCATTAGATCTTCAAAAAAACAGAGTAATTAGGTTATAAGCTATGACAATCCTAGCTTAATTCCTTTCCTACCAAACTAGTATTTTGATACTGAATCAAAATGCATTAAGTGACACAAGAACAAGTGACTGAAAACAAAACCAAGCCAAAAATATGAATAATAAACTAAATTTATTAACCCAAATTTTGTAATATGAAAAATATGAAGGGAAAACATGACGACATTGCCGAATCACTCAAACACCAACAGAACTAGTACAAAATTTCTACTTCAGCCAAAAAAGGGAGATCCATATCATCTCCAATTTCTTCTTCTTGTTTAGCTTACCGACAACGTCAACAAACAAAACTTTCACAGAAAGCATTTTTCTCATGAAACAAACATATCTACAGATATACAAAGCCGATAATAAGAAAGAACTTTTTCCACGAAATAAAGAGAAGACAAATACCATTGTTGGATCGGGAGGATAGCTGGTTGTCTGGTCTCTGAAGTGAAGAACGGCTTGTCGCGAGAATGCAACGCAATCAAATGCGAATTAGGGTTTCTCTTGCTATGTTTTTATAGAAACTGAACGACGGGAATTTTGTGTTTAGGCCCAGTTGCCATTCTAATATTCAGTACTAAGCAGGTTCAAAGCCCAAATCAATTACCATTTATACTGATTCTTGTTATTCTCATAAGAAATTATTATTATTATTATTATTATTATTATTATTATTATTATTATTATTATTATTATTATTCAAATTATATAAACCCAAACACCAACAAAAGTAGTACACAAGTGCTAAACATAATGGATTTTTCAATTAATATATATAAGTTTAATTTTACTTTTTTTTTGTTCTTTTTAATATTATTATATAAATATATGTTAAAAATATTAAATTTAGTTTTAAAAATTCAATATAATTAGAATGTAATATATGTATCCTATTTCAAATATATATAAACTTATTAGGTTTAAGTGACTCAAATATATATAACAATTTGACATTGAAAGCTTATACCTCTGGCATTCATGATGCTCGAACTCATGACCTCAAGAAATAACAACAATTTACTTACTATTGAGATCGCTTGGATTGTACAATAAATTTAAATAAGCTGGGTTTAGACACTTATTTTCGTCCAAATATTTTATACATATATGTATACATATATATATATATATATATATATATATTATATAGTTTTCTAAGTAATTTTGAAAACTTATATAATATATAGTTTTTTTTAAAAAAACATTTTTGAAAACATATAATATAATTTTAAAACATTTTTTGAAAACTATATAACATATAGTTTTAAAACATTTTTAAAATTATATAATATATGGTTTTGAAAATATTTTTGAAATATATTATATATAGTTTTAAAACATTTTTTTAAATATATATTATATAGTATTTTGTTTTTATTTTATTTTTATTTTTTTGTTTATTATTATTTACTCGTTTATTTATTTATTTTATTTTTTCAGGTCTGTCATTAAGGTCTAATCAGTCCAGGATTAAGGCTCGAACTAGCCTAGTAAAGGTTTAGGGTTCCATCATTAAGTCCAACGCCGCACGAATCATAACCGTCAGATCGAGATGGGATCAATGGCCAGGATTGCAAAACAACTAGGGTTTGTCTAACCCTTAAATGAGCAGCCAGATCTGGACCGTTGGATCTGACCCAATCCAACGGTCGAGATCAAATCAAGGAAAATTCCAGAAGTCACACCAACAGTCACAGATGGCGCGAGATTTCCGGCCGAGATCCCCGGGACTGACCCATCCCGGGGTGACCGGTCACAACGGCCACGATCGCCCTTATTTCGGAACTAACAGGCCACCGGTGGGGTATAAAGACCCCCACCAAGCCACTGCCAGGGACCACCAGGGAGAACCATCACGAACAGAGCACACAATGCCACACCGAGGGACCATCACAGTAAACCGACAGAACCCAAAACACCAACAACAGTACCATCAACGGTACCCACGGCGAGAATAAACGGCCAACAAAGATCGAGAACCTACAAAAGCAATACCAAAACACTGCCAGCAAATCTAGCCACAATAAACATCAACAACACCACAACATCATACCAGCACAGTAACCAAACAAGACTCCATTGAGTCAACAGCACATCAAAAACTCGATAACAACCCAAAATAACCAAACATCGAAACAAGAAACAGGCAAGCAACAAAGCCGTTCGAGACCCCAGTGAACACAAGAGCAGTAAATTACTCAGTACACGTCGGAAACGGGAGGAACTCGTCGGGAAACGAAGCGTCACCAACAAAAAAGGGTAAAGATCGAAGCTTTAGAGCAGATCTACGGCGTTTGGAGTTTTTTCAACGAATTTGGGGTTTAGTTTTGGGTTTACAGGGTCGAGAGGAGTGTTTCGGGCTAAGCGGTCTTTTTCCGGCCACCGCCGGCGGCGGCCAGTGCGACGGAGGGGCCACCGAAGTGGTGGCCGGAAATCGTCTGGGAGAGGAGGCCTTGAGAGAACCGAGAGAGATGATATCTCTGAGAAAGTGTGGAAATGAAATGAAAATGGAGGTGTTTGGCTATTTATATACCAGGGGTCGTTTTGCAAATATAGGATTCTTAAATCCTCTCCGCGGTCCCCCAAATTTTGAGTCGCAATTCAATGTGGTCACTACCCGTAAATTTACCTCCGAATTCCCAATTTAATCAATTTAGTCCCTGTATATTTTTTTTTATATTATGTGAATTGGTCCCCTAACTTTTTATTTGTTCTTTTGCAGTTCATTTTCTAATTCATTAAGCTCAATTTGTTCCAATTTGATCCTAAGTTTTTATATTTTTTACCTATTTTTATTTATTTTTTATTATTAGCATTTTGTTTGAGTATTTTTTTTATCTAACATATTTTGTTTCAATCGTACTTCCAACCAATCAAAAGGTAAGTAATTCGAATCGGATTTTTAAATTTCAATTTAAATTCTTAATTTTCGTAATAAAAGACAACCGACAAATTAATTGGTACCGAAAGGGCGGTTCAAGGGTGCTAATCCTTCCTTGACCGTAACCGACTCCCGAACCCGACATGTTTCTGGTACAACGCAGATCAGGTAAGATGGTGTCCGACCCACCTAAATTTGTTTTAAAATGGTCGGTGGCGACTCCAACCCATTTATTTCAAGTCGAAGCCCAATTCCGGGGTCCAACTGAAAGACGGTTACGACAGTTGGCGACTCCGCTGGGGTCAGGTAAGTGAGTCAGGCCGAAATTAATTTTCGGTTGTCTTTTTATGCGAAAATGGTAAATTTTAATTTTAATTTATTTATTCGATTCCAATTATTTATCTTTGATTATTTTTCAAATAAATAGTTGTACTGACGTTGTTAATGATTTCAGATTTTTTCAAAATTGTCATCTCTTAGCTCTAAACCCGAGCTCCGAACCCGTTTTAAGTTGGGGTGAAAGTGACGCATTCGTGTGAATTTATTCACCGCATATGCCTAACAAGTAGCCTTCGGGATTCATATACCTTATGTCTTCGTGTGAATTTATTCACCGTGCGGGCATAAGGGAATGTGTCCTCTCGAGTTTAACTTAGTCCACACAAGCTTGTGATGGGTTTAGGACTAAGGGTCTGGCAACCCCAAGGGGGCACCGGCAAGGAGAACTCGAGTACCGTTTTTAGAACCTAAACCGGGAGACTATGGAGAATTAGAGCCCACCCCAAAACCTCATTCCAAACCCTAGGCTGCTTTGATTTTATTTCCTGCTTTACTTTCTGTTCAAAGCATGCGAACTAGACAAATATGCGGTTAGCATTTGTTTGAAATTAGCATGCGGGATAGAAATTATGTCCGGGTAGGAATGCTAAGCATGTTCGGGTAGATATCATGTGGGGTAGGATTTTTCATTTTATTATTTTTGATTTACCTCACTAACTTTTTTATTTTGTCTTCTTTTATTTTGTTTTTGTCATTCGTATCATTTAAAAGAGGTGTTTATCCACAAAAAACGTGTTTGTTAAACATGAATAATTTGCATTAATGGACAAAGGGGTTGTAATACAAGAGATGAAAATACAGAGGACAGTCTACAGGGTGACTATGTGTCACATTCAATCCAGAAGACGGGGTATCGGCAATCGAAGAATATGTCACTTTGCTACATTGACTCTGAATGGACCAAAATTTACACCGAGCACACTAAAGTCAAATTTTTTAGAGGCAAATGTTGCAGGGGCAAGACGAGGAAAAAGTTAACCCGAAGATTCCTTTCGAAAACTACGAGAACAAGATGAATTCCAGAAACAGGTCGATAAGCTTCGGATGGAGGGCTTCAATGGCACTTTCGTTAGAAACAAGCTCGGCAGAGAGTGAAAGTCGGAGATGTAGTCTTTCGAGACAAACAGCTTGTCACTTGCACATTTTAGCCAAAGGAGCCAGAACGGTTCGATAGGGTTTTCAACTGGTGACAGACGAAGGCAGAAGACTACTCAACATGTCAGAAGCTATCAGGATATTTTTGTCTCTTAAAAGATAAAACATTTTTGTCCCAATAAAGATTATTTATAATAACAGACATGTTTTAGGATCAATGCCTTGAACATCTCATGCATTTTTGCATTTTGCATTTTGCATCTACATTCATTTTAAGCATTTTCATAAACATGAAATTTCTTCACGGAGGATTCGATGAAGTGGTCTTAACCACATGACACCACAGGGAAGCAAGATTTTAGCAATTGAAGAAAAAATGAAATCAGTACAACGAGAGCTTGATCAGTTGGTTATATGACTAAGCTTGCCAGGATGATCTGAAAAGAGTCCACATATCCTGAGGGCTACGATGTTGAAGTTGTTTGCAGTTACCCCAAACATTCCTCTGAAAACTGTAAGGCGCTTGCCGAAGAAGGGGGTATTGCATATACTATTTGCACCTAGAGGATTGTTTTGTTTGAACACGTCTTTGATCTTTTGCTTAATCTTTTAAACGATTGAATTTATGCTACTTTCTAAGGTGGAGCAATTGAACAAATTTTAATCTTTAGTTCTTCGAATATAAAATGAATTAAGGATTCTTTTAATTCTTCAAGAATTATAGATTTTTGACATGTGACAAGATTAGACCTTTCTTATCCTGTCTCAAACCCCAAAATAAAATACATTGATTCTTTACCCAAAATAACTCATGGTCATTACCAAAAAAACCAAATTTTGACATTACCTCCCTTAGAAATTCTTGAACATTACCTTTATCTTTTTGATACACCCATACCTTTCTTTGAGTTAATAAGATCACACCATTGTCTTTTTTTTAGACTCAAAATTAACTTTTTTACTATTAAAACCCAAGGCATTGAATTGTTCATTTGAACATGAGCATTCTTCTAAGACATAATTTGGGGCATCTCGACGGGAGCCTGAACATTGAGATATGTTGGGAGCAATGAGCAGAAAAAACAATTCATTCGAAATAATTCTATCACTCATTAACTATATTGTTTTCATGTGAATGAAATTAATCCTGAAAATCTATCCCC